AATTATTCAAATTTTAACGTATTTTTTGAATAATTGTTTTAATCGTACTAACAATTAAAACAATTATTCAAAAAATACGTTAAAATTTGAGAGAAAATATATAACAAATTGTCTTTTTGTTTATAATAATTAATAATCATTTTTGATAAACAATTATAAAAAGTACATGTTTTGTATCTCATAGACTATACAGACATATAATTATAACATGCAATCAATAAATAGATTTTTTGTTGTAAATAATTGTCATTTAATACCATTTTGTGGTGTTTTTGAGAAAGGAATTAATTAGTGATTTAACGATAGATCCAAATAGTGATCAAATAGTCTTATCAATAAAATTTCAATTAACTATAGAGAGAGAGAGAAAATATAGATATATATAAATTTTTAAACGTTATTTCATTCGTAAAAATCATTCAAACCATACGTACATTCAGTCAAACAATTTTTCGTAAAAAGTATTAGTTTTAAAACAGCATTTTTTGTAAGAATAAAACATTTCGTTTAATTAACAACAGATTTATATATATTCAGTATTTAAAAAGTGCCTCAAAATTTCAACAGTTATATAGCATTTCAAAAGCGAGAGAGAGAGAGAGAGAGAAAGACAGAAAGAGAGAGAGACTAATAACAGTTAATCAAACACTGATTTGCCGTCAATTAATGTACAGAATCGGCAATTAATTTCTCGCAATTCAATCAATCATTACATATATATATATATATTGTGTGAAAATACAATTTGTTTTCATCTGTTACAGAGTATATAATATTTATAGACAATTTCATTCATTCGCCTAAACGTTACGTTAAATCCAATATATATTTTCATATAATAATCAATAATAAATGGCAACAATTTATATATAATGTATGAATGGTTTGGGGGGTCGGGGAGGAGGCGTACGAATGGGCCGTTTCTTTATGTAAAAAGTCAATGAATGAGAGAAAGAGATGTATAATATATTTATAGCATAAATAAATTCATGTGTGACTTGTATTGTCACTAAATATGCCAATCATTTTCCTAAATAAATCTCTCAATGCATACAGGTTTTGGGTCAAAATCGACTGTTTTTAATAAATTAATTCGAATTAATTAATTCGACATCGATTTCGGTTCAAATGTTTTTCGATTTAAAAATAAATATCATTTTCGCTTAAAAATAGTCTCACAATTAAAAACCATTTACGCGTTTAGAGATACCGGCAAAAGTGGTGGTCAATACTTGGCCGCACCGCTCCCGTGGATCTTCATGTGCGCCGACCGGCTCTTCACCTTCTGGAACACTTTGCCGCACAGTTTGCACGGATAGTCCACCGCAGACACGACGGCGGCCGCAGCCGTCGCCGACCCCACACTAGTGGCCGGACTCGGGTTCGCCGAATCCATGAACGACGAGATGTTGTCGTCCACGTCCGACGAGTGGCCACTCGTCACGAGTCCACCGTTGGTCAGGTCTGTGTCGTTGTTGTCGAAGTCTATGTTATTATTGTTGTTGTGGTTATTGGTGTTGTTGTTCTCTTCGCCCTCTTTTGACCGCAGATTATAAAAAATTGTTTCGTTTTCCCGCTTTCGCCGTATTATACGCATCCGTCGGTACTCTTCGGGACACACCTTCTTCCACATGTAGTAGAATTGTATGCATTGTTTCACGGATTTGGTGCCGATCTGTGGGTTTGAGATAATTGTATGCAAAAAAAATACAATTAGAAAGTGTTTCAATACATAAATGACAAATTCATTGATAAAAAAACATCGGAACCATTGGATCCGTACCTCTTTAGCGATGCCGAAGAAGTCTTTATCACATTTGTTAAGCGCGCACTGGTATGACTCGATCTCTTGCGGAACCCAAATGTCATTTTCTAAGACAACAAAAACAGACAAATATTAAAATAAAAACTTTATTAAAACAAAATTTTAATCACAAAAAAGCACTCAATGCGAGCCATACCGGAGTAGTGATAGTCGGAAAGCGGGTGGCCGTCGGCGATGGTCGGGTGCGGCTCCAGTAGCTTAGAGATGGCCTCTTGGATATCACCATTAGTTATGTGCAGCAAATGCATGGCGTACTCCTTGTTCCGACCCGAACCGGGAACGCACGCACAGCACGACAGCTCCAGATAGGACTCGATGTCTTCGTGGGTCAACTGTTCGGCGGCGGACGGGTCCCACACCAGGTCCGCCTTCTCGGCCCTATACTTGGCCTCATCGCGATTCTTGTTGAAGGCGGGAATGCGCGCCTGAAAGTTGGGCCCAATGTTCACGTGTGGCTGAATGTCCGTCTCGGGTATCTCGCAATCGTACGGCTCGTACGCTGTGGTCGGCGTCTGAGCGATGGATTGGTGAGCGGCCGCCGCCGCCGACGCGGCGAACACCTCTTCGGCAAACTCTTTGTACTTCGTGTCGGACGAGCTCTTCCGCGAGTACACAAACTTGGGTTGAATGGGAGCACCGCTCTTCGGCGTCATACTGCCGCTGATGATGTGCCAGAACAGGCCCGGACCCGAGCGCACCGGCGACAGCATCGGTGGCGGTGTGTACGGCGGCGGCGAGAGGTTCACCGGCGGCACAACTGACGGATCCCATAGGCGCGGAGACCGGAGTCGCGACTGATAGCCACATGTGTTGACGTGCGGCGGTATGTATAGCGGTTCCGGTCGATGCTTCGGTCGTTTGGGCGACGCCACGCAACCGCCGCCGCCCACCACTGCGGGTGACATGCGTTTGGGCGACGGCGCGACTCCGACCGGACTCAGGAACACGTCGTCGGTGGCGTCTTCGTCGCACTCGTCAATCCGTTCCAGATTCACGACCAGATGCGGCGGCGATGATGTGCTGCTCCGTATGCTGGGCACAGACCGCTGCTGCAGCAGCTGGTGGTGATGGTAACCGCTCGGTCGCGACAGCAGCGGTGGTGGTTGTGGTGTCGGTGGCTGTTGTTGTTGCTGCTGCTGTTGGTTGTGGTGATGAGCGACTGAAGTGGACGACTGATGGTAAGCAATGTTAGGCGTGTGCGACGATGACATACCGGTAACGACAGTCGGGTGCTGTCCGGCCGCCACTGACTGGTGGCCCGTCGACGACGACCCTAACGACGGCTGCATTGAGTAGTGGTTTGCGTTCATTTGGTGGCGCTGTTGGTGATGATCATTGGATGACTGCTTTGGCATCAGGTTGTGGTGCTGTTCCGTTGGGTGCGGCTGTTGTAAGGCCTGCGGTTTCATGTGGACGCTGTTCCCGAGCGACGAAGACTGTGGCGTCCAGTAATTGGACGGCTGGACGTAGTGGTGATTGTTGTTGTTGTTGGAAGTGGTGGCGATCGGCGCGTATTCGTGACTAGTGGTCGCTGTCGTGGGCGCAAAGTTGCCGAAGAACTGTTGCTTCTGCGGAGGCAACTGCTGTTGCGGAGACATGGATTCGACGGACATGTGTTCGATGGGCTGTGTGTCCATCCGATGGCTCACGTGTTGCACATTTGGCGACCGCTGGTCGTCGCCGTGGCTCACGCTGTCGGCCATCATATCGTTCTGGGCGTCAAAGTAGGCGTCGGTTGGGTTCATATTGGCGTCAAAGTTAAAATGATGCTCAGGTATGGTCTGGTGATCGACGGCCGGCGCGTTATTCACGACAACAGCGCCGCCACTATTGGTATAATCGACAATCGCGTCGTACATCTGGGAGTCTTCGTACGTGTCATTCATGGGCTCGTCGAAGACATCGGGGGCCGACTGTTGTTGCGGTTGCTGAGACTGTTGTGGTTGTGGCGGTTGGTGTTGGGGAACCGTATACGTAAAGTGCTGTACGGCTGCGTGCGATGGCGAGTACGGCGTGTTCGGCGAGTAAGGGGTGTTTGGCGAGTACTGCGCGGCCACAGACGACGGCGATGTCGAGTACTGCGAGTGCACTGAGCCGTGATTGATGGGCGACGCGGGCACTGGCATGAAGTTAAACTGTTGGCCACCGCCGGCCGCGTCCGGAGTGGTCGGTAGGGAAGCGCGACTGTTGGGCGAGTGCGCGAACGTCACCGGAGCGGCGCCCGCTGTCGGTGTCGACGGCAGTGAGTGGGGCTGCAGTCCAGCGCCGTTGTGGCATACCGTCGGCGTTGTGGGCACCGAATGCGAGTGATTGTAGTACTGGTGGCCAAACATCTGTTGCTGCTGTTGTTGTTGCTGTTGATACCCGGTATTGATGGTCATTAAGGGCTGATCAGAGCCCGGATCCGATATTGTCCGCTGCGTTCGGCGCCGCAACAAGTCGTTGAACTGTTGGTTTGTGTAGCACTCATCGGCGCTCTGGCCGTACGACTGGTGCTGCTGTGGGTTAGGGCCCGGACTCTGGACCTCGCAATTGACGCCCATATCGCTGGAGTCGCTGTGGCGGCGCTGCTGTTGTTGGCGCTGTTCCTGCGCGGCCAGGAATCTGCTCTGAACGCTGGTGGTCGGCGGCTGCGACGGCATCCGGAACTGTTCCGTTTGTTGCAACTGTTGCTTCAACAACAGCAGCTGATTGTCGTAGTGGTTGTAGAGGCCGTTGTGATCGCCGCCACCGCCACCGCCGCCGACAACAACTCCGCGGCCAAACTGCTGCTGCATATCGTTGGCCGACGGGTGATGAAAATCGTAGCTAAACGTGGAAGCGTTACCGCCGTGTGTTGTCGTCGGCGTCACGGGTGTCACCGGTGACAGTATGGGCGCCATCGGGCTATTGAGCGGCATCTGGTTGTTGTGCTGCGCCGCCGAAGTGGACGACTGGTGTTGCTGTATGTGTGACACGGGTTGAGACGTGTGGTGCGGTTGGACTGAGTGGGGCTGCAGTAGTGGTGGCGGCGGCTGAAGTACTGGTGGCTGCGACGGCGGTGGCGCTATTAGACCGTTAGCGGCCGCCTGTTTTCTCGAGATCTTCTCTTTGATCACATCCAGTATGGCCTTCACGTTGGCGTTCATCTGATTGCTGTCCACCTTATTGTTGGTCTCCTTTTTGACGCTCACAGTATTGGTGGGCACACTGTTCTGGGACTGGTTCTTGAGGTAACCGCCGTGGAGTCGCATATGGCCTACGAGTTCGCGAACAATGAACGGCAAATCAATTATCAATTGTTAACAATGAATGGCAATTCAATGAAAATTGGGATCAATTAAAGGGTGACATACCGTTGAGTGCGGGTATATTCTTGAATTTGCGTTGACATAGAGAGCACTCGACCTGTTGGGGCTCTGACTTCAGGTTGTTTTGCGAGAACATAGTGTACGGCCAGTTGTCGGCCGCCGTCGCCGATGAGGACACCTGAGAGTTCTGGTGCTGCGGCCGCTGCTGTTGTGACTCATTCGCGGACAGGGATTGCATTGAATGCTGCGGTTGTGGTGGCGGTTGAGGCTGAGATCGGTATGAGTTGTGATGGGAGGACTGGTGATGGGGTTTGTGATGCGGATGGTGTGACTTCTGTTGGAGCTGATGGTGTGGTTGCGGCTGTTGGTGATGGTTATGGTGTGGGTTCGGGTGCTGTTGAGCGGACGGCGGTTGGTATGGGTTATGGGAGTGAATGGTGTGTTGACTGTGTTGTTGTGGTTGCGGTTGTGGCACATGAAAGAGCGGTAGCGGAGGCTGTGGTTGTTGTTGCGGCTGTGGTTGAGGTTTGTCTTTGAAGTGCTGTTCCTGACTGTGCGCCGACTGAGTGAGCAATTGGTGGAGCAGTGCGTTCTCCGGCGTGTCGGCTACCGGTCCGCCGCCGCTCATGAGGGCGACGCTGGCCTCGAGCTTATGGTTCAGCTCTTTATTCAGCAACTGTTTGACAGTCAACTCGCTGTTGGTATTGATGTACGAGTTTTTGTTGATAACCGACTGGTTTTGGTGCCATTTGGGCGGCACAGGCATCGGGTCGCGACCCGACGACCATTTATTGGCACCGATGGGGCCGTGAATATTGCCCTGAATGTTGCCGTGACTGTTGTCGTGCTTGTGAAGGGCCAGCCGTTGCAGTTGAGTGGCCGCCGATTGTTCCGCCGAATTGGTGATCGTCGACACGTTTGTCGGCTGAGCGGCGGTCGCGGCCGTAGAGACCGACGACGGTTGAGCCGGTGGTGGCGGCGGGAGAGCGGCCGGCGGTGGCGGCGCGTACTGTATCCGATTGAGCGCCTGATTGGGTGTGAGGCCAACATTGGTGGTCGAAAAGTTGAGCGCAATCCCCGGTATGAACGCCAGGGTTTGTAACGACTGGTTCGGTTGGCCACCAATGGGTCCTACAAAAGACAGACACACATTAGGCATCGCAAAGGCATCACAAGTGGCCTCAAAAGTGGCCACAAAAACACAGACAATACTGACCTCCGATCGGGTGATGATTCTCTTTGTGACGGCGAAGAGAACGGGCGTCACAGTAGGTCTTCTCGCAGCCCTCGACATCGCATTCGTAGGGCTTTTTGCTTCTGTGCGTCAAGAGGTGGCCGTTGAGGTGGTCCTGGCGTTTGAACGCTTTGGCGCATTGGTTGCACACAAACTTGCGCTCATCCGAGTGCGTCAGCTTATGCTTCGACAGCGCCGACTGATTCGAGAACTCTTTGCCACAATCGGGACACGAGGGCCGCACCGGCGGACACCCCTTACGCTTCTTCCGCTGAGAGGGACACCCGTTGACCGCCGCGGCGGCGGAGGCGCTCCCGTCGAGCGCTTTCTTACTGTCGCCGTTAGCGGCGCTACCGTTGCAGTGGCCGTACGAGTGGCCGGAGTTGTTGTCGTCGTAGCCGGACGTGGGCTGACACGCGGGCGACAGACTGTTGGGCATCTCGGAGAACGAGTCCGAGTCGAGCAAATCAAACGAGTGGTTAGAGCTGTGCCCTCCGGGACCGCCGCCCGTGAGGTAGCCGTCCAGCGACGACGTGGTGAAGCTGTTGGGCGTACCGGCGGTCGCGTTGTCGGCCACTCCCGCCACCGACGCCGGCGACGACGACTGGTAGGCGTTGAGAAAGCCGTACGTCTGGTTGAAGTTCAGACCCGATATCATTCCGTCCGAAGTCCGCGAAGGCTTTGACAGCAAAAACGCGTTCCCTATGAGAGAGACGGGGAGAGAGGGTTGGCGTCACATGTTTCACGTCGATCATAATACCAGATGTGCCGCACAAATGTCATAATACCAATAGGTATGTGCAAAACCAAAATAAGGGCACACCATATATGCCATATAAACTACGTCAACCAATTGGCTGATGTATTCACTTATTATTATGCAATTATTGATTGAAAAATTTGAATTTTTGGATATTGCTTGTTGTTTCCGCTATTGCTTCAGAGCACCAGGCACAATATTGTAATTGGCATTGGCAAATATTGCAATAATACTGCAATAATATTACAATAAAATTGCCAAAATATTGCCATATTAATAAATATTGGGATTTCAATGTCTACTTACCATGTCCATTAGGACGTAGTTTATATAGCTTATATGGTTAGTCCCTAATATTACTATTTTGGTTTTGCCCATATTGTCACAATTGGTGACACTTGTGCTGGACGTGTGGTGGGCTATGGCTATGGACGGACACATACCTGCGCTATCATTCATGTGGCCTGAGATCGACGATAGGACTGGCGATGGAGTGGCGTTGCGTTGGGTCGGCTCCACTCGACCGCCGCTCACTCGCCCGGAGACTAACACTTGGCGTGATTTAAATGCCGTTTGTGTGCGTCAAGTGTGCGCTCGCATTGCATCCGCCAGAGAGACACACAGATATAGAGGGGGAGAGAGAGTGTGAGGGGCAGAGAGAGTGAATTGAACTAAACACACCTCGATGAATTGAAATTAATTATGCATTATATAACTATAGATAAACATATGAATTGAAATGCATATATTATTATATTAATTGGTGAAGTTGTGTGAAATTACACATGATGATAATTTAAATTGTTGAATGAATTAACAAAAATAACATATACTGTGCGGTTGTATTGCAATTTGCGTTAATGAGACCAAACATAGCGTAACGCTTACGGAGTAAGTGGTGTAATAAGTGGTGAGAGATATCGCAGTTTGTATGCAATACTAGTGCACTCTCTCTCCTACACTCTCCCTCTCACTCCCCACCAAAACAATTGCAAATATATCACAAAATGCACGGCCAGGTTGTGGTGTGTGGGCAATGGCCGGGCAATGACAGCTCGTGGTGGTAGTGGTCGGTCGCGGGTTTGGTCAGCAACTGACGGTTGCTTTCGCTGCCAAACTAATTGTCATCTTTTTTCTCACTTGAGATGTATATAAACAACAAATGAAACCATTTTTACTGCCTATCGCTGTGTATAGAGTTGTATGGCTTGTATGCTATGCACAGCACCCGTACGTACAGCCAGTTTGTGTATAGCTATGGCCCTGAATATTATGTGTACTGTATATACGAGCGCTATATAACGCCAGTGGCCCTCAACGCACACACCATAGCATATCATTTAATACCATAGATATTGCCATTGCCTACACAGCCAGGCAATAGTCCTCAACGCACGCGCATTCACGTACATTATCATCACCACCAGAACCACCTCTCTCAATTGCTCTCTATCTCACTCTCCTGGCTCTCTCTCTTTCTCTCTCTCTCTCTCTTTCTCTCTCTCTCTCTCTCTCTCTCTCGTGAGTTTTGAAATTATTATTTTCTGGTTATTTCTTCGCCGACGACAACAACAATACAATACAATTGGGAATTAAATTATTATCTTTTAAATGAACATAAACTATAAATTTCATTGCATTTAGTATTTGAATGAGTTTTTTGTATTAAATTATATCCAAAAACACAATTCACTTCAACAAAGATGAAATCCCTTTCCATTATGTTTGGCGTCTATTGAATGAAAATTGGGAGAAAAAATAAGAGAGAAATAATAAGTTTGAGTTAATTTTGTTTTTATATATAATTTATATATAATATAAAACAATTATATCTATAGTAAATAGTGAATTAAATTTAGCTAAAAAATAAAAATAAATAAATAAATAACAAAAATAATTATCTGTGAAATAAATTTCTATCTCCTTTTTGTTGATAAAATAGTGTTGTATTGAAACGGATTGTTATAAAACTATTTCAGAGATCTTCTAAATAAATATTTATTGTTATTCTTTATCATTGTTTCGCTGTTTTACGAGAAAAATATTTTAAATTTTTCAAATTCAGTCCATTTGTGTGTTGAGTGCGAAAATTAAAAAAACTTTTAAGAGATCTTCTAAATAAATATTTATTGTTATTCTTTATCATTGTTTCGCTGTTTTACGAGAAAAATATTTTAAATTTTTCAAATTCAGTCCATTTGTGTGTTGAGTGCGAAAATTAAAAAAACTTTTTTAACCCAAATATATCCGCATTTTTTAATGTAAATTGATTTAGATCGCAACTTTTGTTTAGCTGATTTTTAATAAATTATTATTGTGACAGAGATTGTGATCTGTGCATTCTTTTGTAAACAATAACACAATATAATACATTTTTTTTTAAAAAACAATCTCTTTTGGCTTATATTTGTTTAACAAATGTATTTTTAGATCTAATTTTGTGGTTCACCTGAATATTTAGGACAGACAACCAAAAAACACACTGAGAATGACATTCAAAAGTTTTTATCACTGAGAAAAACATATGGAAAAACGCGAACAATAATTGTTAAGACATTTAACGAAACAAAATTATTTCATCGCAAACGATATGATTAGAGGATTTCGCTCTTTCGCTATACAATCGATACTCACATCTAATTATAACTTATTTTCACATAAAATTAGTTAATAATAGAAAAATTTAAATTAATTTTAAACAAAAAAACAACATATTCTCTAAACCAATAAATTGATACCATATCTAACGACATGATTATCACGAAAGCTCACAACTAATGACAGGCAATAACGACAAAATTATGGCATTCATTACACCGTCAGTAAAGGGGAAAATTGATCAGGATTGTTTGCGAATATATGCACACAACAATGTGTGTGTATTTGAAATCAAACGTAACAACAATAACAAGAAAACATAACGTTTGTATTATATTTTGTTAAATTTGTTTTTAAATTTTAAGTATGAGTTTTATGATGACTCTTTACGCCGTTTGCAACGTATTGACCTTTGCCGTCGTGAAGGACTACTGCCTGAGTTTGCTCTGGTGTTTGCTTTGAAACAGCGATCGTTGTTATCACCATTTGCTGGTCCCATGACTTCGATCTCTATTTTATGGTAATCTTTTAAACTGTGTTTTTAGCAGCACTTCCTGATGACGGACTCAAACGAGTGGTGTTTGCTTTGAAACAGCGATCGTTGTTATCACCATTTGCTGGTCCCATGACTTCGATCTCTATTTTATGGTAATCTTTTAAACTGTGTTTTTGTTGGTTTTTTTGGTTGCGTTCAAATTGTTGTGTATGTTTTCGTTTGCCATTCAATTGTTTTGTTTGCATTGAAATGCAATTTACATTTTTTTCGAAAGACAAGAGAAATATATATAAATTCAATGAATTGTAAGAATTAATGTAAATAAATATAACATGTATTTAATAGTAGATAATTCTTATACTGTATTTATACTCATAGTATTGTGAATAACAATAATAATACATAAATAGACAATACAAGTATGAATTTGGATATAATTTGTATGCATTTTGTGTTTCAATGCATTTATTGAACATAACATAAATGCTTTTGAATACTATTTTTAAATTGCATTGTTTTTATGTGAGAGAGTTATGCATAAGAAAATACTAATTGATTTATAAAATAGCAAAATAATGCATACTTTGGATCAGATATAAGACAACCGACTGTACCATCAAAGCCAAGACTATAGCCAGCAATAGCCGCCGCAGCCATTGTATTGACATTATTAGGCGCTAAACCGCATACCTGTCG